CACGACCGTACCGCTTGTCCCTGACCATCACGTTTATGATTTCTATCATAAAAATTTCAAAAATTAAAATATCGTCATATTTAAATGTTTTATACACAAAAGAAGCACACCTCTATACAAACATAACGATTTTTCGGGTCTCAGGTAAGTTTTTTCGGAGTTATACAAACTTAAAAAGATGTTATTGGCTTTTTTTCAATTTTTTGAGTTTTTTTATTTTTGTCTAGAAAGACCAAATATACCAAAAGCTCATTGACCTTTTTATTGTATAATGGTCATAAAAGTAAATTAGTTTATAGCAAAACATAGTTATAAAAATAATATTAACTAATTTTAATATTCATTTAAACGTCTGTTATGGTCGTGACAGGATTTTGTGTTTTTCCACTAAAGATGCTCTTTAAAAAAAAAATACCAAAGATATTGCGTTACCATGGAAATTATTTTTATGAAACTTCAAATGTTAATAAAATAAAAATAATAATAAAAGTTTTGAAAAAAGGGGAAAAAAATTTGCAAAGTGCTTTTCCTGAAAACGTACGTTTTTAAATTTTCACTCACTTACTTACTTTCCGTGTCCGGAAATCAGACTTCGCTTTTCCAAAAATTAGCTACCGATATGGCTTTGTCATTCGCTTGTAAAAGATCATCTAATGTGCAAGACTGGTCTAGGGGTGGACAGATCAGCAGATGGCCAGGATCCTGAACAGCACCACACGCGCACAAGATGTTTTCTTCGTCTGGTAAGAGACCCCATTTCTGCATGTTTTTCTTGCATTTTGGTACCTCGACCCTGATTCGATTTAGGGTAATGAAGGCCTCCACCAGGAGCCAGTTCCTCCCTGGCTGGTATGGGAGGGTAAGTCAACGTGGCCTCCCACCTTGCCACCCGATTGCTTGAGAGTGATCCATCCAGGACTCGTGTCCGTGATAAAAAGCTCTTTCTGGACTGAAGCCGTCGCTCTGCAGGTTGGTGGCCGTGTAATGGGTGACAAGGGTCTGTCTCTTGCTTAGTCCTTTCTGCGGCAGCGACATCACGTCGGATTGATGGAGGTGCGATCCCTACGATAGGATAGAGTTTGTGTACTGGGGTTTGTTTCAAACACCCAGTTACAATCCGAGCCATGTCATTGACTGCAATGTCAACCTTTTTTGCATGTGACGATGCATTCCATACTGGTTAGGCTTGATAGTAGGTTAAGTTGGGAAACTCATGCCGAGCAGTTGTGTAGAAAACTGTCTAGAATAATTCACCTTCTTAGAAAGTTGAAAGATTGTGTAACCAAAAACATGCTGATAACTGCCTATTATGCTTTTTTCATTCTCACTTAAAGTATGGCATAACTTTAAGGGGCAACTCGTGTAGTGCATTAGAGGCTTTTAAGTGACAAAAAAGAGCTGTAAGAGTCATTAAAAATGTTTCGGATAGGGAGTCATGTGTTCCTTTATTCAAAGAGCTTAACCCTTTTAGTGCTAGGCCAATAATTCATATTTTGTAAGACTTTTTTGTTTGCCTTTTAATTCCATTACCTATTGTTGAATTTTAACTGTCATGTTGTCACTATTTTATTAAGGCTAATTTTGAATAATAACAAAATAAGAAAATATATAAGAAAGATAAATCCCGGTATTTGTATTAAATATTAAATAAAACTTAGTTTTTGTTGTAATTTTCCTGGGTTTCCTATATGAATTTTTATGTTCTGATAGCATTATTTGAAACCAAAATCTCATAAAATCAAAAGACATATAGTTTACAATGTAATATTGAATTTAACCTTGATTTAGTAGGACGAGGTTATCGTAATATAGCCATTTTAGGGAAACTAATGTTTTGCAGCAAAGTCTCAGGAACACATTTATGATCACTGTTGTGTTTAAACTAAAACATTTCATCTAAATAGTCCGTGATTAACTGGTGCTGCTACCTAGTAACGCATTGAACAACCATCTGTAGCGCTATCTGTTCGCAATCGGTGGCAACAGCTTAAATACCGGTTTTTGACTCCTCAGTCTTCAAGCACAGATAGCCGAGAAGGCTAGGGCGTGTGTCACTTGGCCAGTGACATTCGTCTGCTCGGCTTCGAATCCCGTCCTGTGTGGCAAATAATTGGTGACCTGTGTGTTTGTAGCGATATACTACAACCACTGGGGCATAGTGAGGTGTTCATAATTTTTGTTTTAGACATACACCTCGAAATCATCGGATTGGGCAAATCTTTTAGCTAAGTGGTTGTTAGTGTATCCTATGAACATGCAGGTCACCAATGGCCGTTTTGCTATTTTTTTTAAATAACCTTCCTCTCTATATCCCTTAGAGATTTTTTAAAACAACGATATATCGTTTCATAGCACTGAAAGAGTTAAAATAATGACTCTTCCAAATTTGTACATTTACTGCTGCCTGATGGATGTTAAGAATTCTATTTGTAAATTGTCTGTTAGAAAAGAAATAAATGACTATCAAACGAGGAAAAACTATCTTCTTAACTTAATCTCTGTACGGTTGGAAAAAACAAGAAACAGTCATGTTTATATGAAAATTAAATTATTTAATAAACTGCAAGAAAACATGTGGAATATAACTTCAAAACAGTTTGAAAATAAGATTAAAATATGGTTAAGAGAACATATTTTTTATACTGTTGATGAATTTTTAGCCTGTGACATTAGCACTTTAAGAATTTAAATTGGATAATTGTTCAGATTTTATATTAATTGTTTGTAGTGATTCCCTGGTGTTTTTATATTTTGTTATTGTTTTTATCTATAAATATTCTATTTTCCAATGTACCTTTTACTTAGAATAGGCTATTTACATACATCATATGCTTGTGACTTTGTCAATTGCACACATGTGTTTAAAGACAATAAAAATCTTTGACTTTGAGATTACAACAGTGATTTGTGTACACTTTGCTGCACACGAGAGCAATGTTAACGCACGAGCTGCAGGCAAGTGCGGAATTATCTCGAGTGCAGCAAAGGCCTTTTGCACTCGTGTTACACATTATATTTTTACTACAGTCACTATAAAGCATATAAATAATTTAGTCTTTCAAACACTATACAACACGTTTTTAGGTTCAGCTGGCAACACAAATAGGTGCCCTAGAGAAAGTAGTCACCGGTCCGTATCACTCCGCTATTTTTTCCTCGGCAAGCAATGTGCTCCGCGACTTGAGAAAATAGTTCCGTATGTTTTTGTAATTTGCAGTGGTTTCCGCGCCTAAAAAATGCTTTAAAGGTATTTTCTTGTTTATTAAAATCGTAGGAATATTTTAAAAACGTTTAAAAGAAAAGTCCAGAAATACCGAAACTATAAACACGAAATTACAGGTTAAATCGTAGTTTATAATAGTTAATCAGCTGCTCATAGTATTATTATCTTTAAGTGTTGCCAACCTATTTCCAAGCTTACACTGATTACGTGCATAATAGAACCACGCTGTTTTGTGTCGTTTCATTGGAATCCTGATGTGCGCCAAAGTATAAACCGTACGACAAAGTATAAATATGCAGCAATTAGCAGCTTTCTGTACTATAAACAGTACAAGGAAGCCAACTTTGTCGGGTGACTGTAGGAAAAGATATATTAAAAGCTAAAGTTAGGCAGGGCTGATTTACCGAATAGGCACGGTAGGCCTTGTGCCTAGGGCGCGAGGCAATTGGCTTTTTTGGGGGGCGCCAAAAAATTGGAAAATAAAAAAAATGGTGGTTGTATTTGCATGCGAAACTTCTGATAATCCCTTGCGGCCGTGTAGACATCGTAATCATCTCCCGTGGTTGTGGCAAAATTTTGACTTTTTTCCGCGGTCGTGTAGACATAATTATTGTCTTCCATGATCATATATCAACACAATAATATATGAACATATTCCGCGGTCGTAAGGAGATTATCATCGTCTACCGCGAATGAGCCAAAAAACGATCTTTTCCCGTGATCGTATGGACATTATCATCGTCTTGCGTGATCGCAGGCAGATTCTGATCACCCCTAATGTGGCCGTGAAGTCATGAAGACATGTTTATATCGTCCCCCGTGGTCGTTTGGACATAGTAATCGCCTCCCGCCATTGCGGCAAAATGGTAATCATCTCCCGCGGCCATGTGGAGATCATTGTCATCCGTGAATGGCAAAATTCCTGTCTTTTCCCGCGGTCATGTGGACATTATCATCGTCTTGCACGATCGTGGCAAAATTCTGATCCCTCTCGTATGATTATTTTATCTCCCGCAGTCTTGTAGCCATCATAATCGTCTCGTGTAAACATCGTTATCGCCTCCCGTGATTGCGGCAAAATGTTAATAATATCCCGCAGTCGTGTGGAGATAATCATCGTCTTCCGCGATTGCGGCCAAATTCTTGCTATTTCCCGTGGTCATGTGGACATTACCATGGTCTTCAGTGATCGCGACAATATTCTGATCATCCCTCGTGACTCTGTAGATATCATCATCGTCTTCTGAGATGACGGAAAATTCTGATCATCCTTCGCGGCCGTGTGCAGAAATATTATCGTCTCCCGCGGTCACGGATACGTCTCTGTTGTCATGCACGATCGTGGTTAATTGAAAATTCCAGGTAGAAATTCAAATGTCATGCATAATTCCCGGTTTAAAAAAACTCACGATAAATCAAGGATTTCCCAGTTTTCCCGGTTGGTATTGACACCCTGTTATATTTTGCAAAGGGGCGCAACTATTAGTTGTTGTTTGACCGCTGACTTGGTCAAAAACGGGCCTGAAGTTAGGATCAAGAATAACTGAGAAAAATGTTATTTTCTTGCACTACTTACAGTTTTCTCTATTAAACAATAATTATATATAACTATAACATAACTAAATAACTATAACAATAACTATATATTGAACAATGTTAAAAAGTATTATCAATTAGTGTATAGTCACTATTGTTGAATGAGTGATTTTTTGTGCTGCGAAAAGGTATGGAAAATGTTTATGTCAGGGGGAAAAATGAAACAAAATATCCAACAACATCATAACCAATGATCTTTACTACCTATGAGGAAACACATACACAAGACACAAAATAATAGTCAAGGCCCTCATTTAGTCTATCACCAAAAATGTCAACATACATGATAACCATGATGGCAATTTAGCCACTCATTATGCATGAGTACTCATTAAAATAATAAATCAACATTGGAAGATTGATGACTAGGGCGACGTATGAATATCTAAAGAGACATTATTTGTTTTGCAATCTACTGCGATCCTTCTTAAAAATTAACATTTAAAATTTTGACATTATATTTAATTTTTGTTATTATTTTAAAGCAAGAATTACATAAAAACGTCTTACAAGATTTATATATAATAACAGTATCAAAGTGGATTGAAGCCAGGTTGTATATTACATTTCAAACTAATTACCTAATATTAAAATTATGTACAAGTAGCCTAATACAGTTATGTTACACAATTATTAATTACATTTTTTAAATCTCAAAAACAGTAATCGTGTGTTAAATAATATATTTAAGCCTACAATAAAATTAAATATGTTTGCACCTAATGTAATAAATAAAATAATGTAGAAGGAGTATAACACTGTCTTTTAACAAAATATACAAAAATCAGTCATAAATATTTAACCTAAAACTATTTTAAATACAACAATGCTTACTTAAAAGGTTGTAATTTATTTAATTAAATTTACTTTTAACCAACACAATAGACACAAATACAAAATTGATTTCTATTATTTTTTCTCAAAGTGTACAAGTTAGTAAAATCGCTTCCGTTTATTTTCTTGATGTTTTTGATAAAACATGATTCCACAAATTGCAAGAACAATCAGTACAATAGCTCCCAGCAACATGAGTAGGAATGTTTTGACTCCACTCCAGGAGGATGGCTTCGGGTCATCAATGTGTTCTACAACAATTCAAATCAAATCAAAACATTTTTATTTTCCTTACATGTACATGAATACAAAAATAGTGTCAAATATAAAGTAATACTGTAATACTTTTCAATGAAATGGCGACCAGCCTAGGTATATACATTTTAAGTACTAAATTATTAATTAATATTTATTCAATGAGTTCCTCCATTGTATGAGGAGCCTTTCCAATTAAATGTTTTTTTTTCAAATTTATCTTTAGATGAATTAGAATTTGATTCCTCCTTTAATGAGGAAGGCAATTTCTTTAGAATTAGTGGTCCAGCAAAAGTTGGTTTCTTTTTGGAGAATGAATTCAAGCTTATAGGTTGAAGTTACTATATCCTTTTTATGTCTTGTATTGCAACTATGTGGCACAACTGGCTCATTCTGGGACATCAACAGTAAGCAATCCGATATTAAATATAACTCAAATTCACTATTATTATTGTAGCTACTTTTGTTATTCCTTTTTGGTGGAAATTATAGGCTGGCTACGATAGTTCCAAGTAACCCTTCACAAGACTGTTTAGTATTATTATTACTAGTTGAATCTTGAGTAATTCTTCATCTAGACTAATTGATGTATACAATCGCATTTGATTAAATATATTTTTAGGGGACGAGCGAAACAGCTCACGTCCATCGTTATCCGATAGTATTTCAGTGTTACTCCTATAATGCGTATCCATTAAACTATAGGTACAGAACACAACATAATTTTATTAAATTGAAGTGATATGTGACTGGCGGAACAATCCTGTCTTAAAAATGAATTCCTTGGCCGCACTATTTTAGGTATTGGCTCTTTACGCTAAAATAAATTGTTGTCTTTTATTTAGCTAATAAATCAAGTCCCAACTAATACGTGGCAGGCAATAAAGCTCTGCTTACATTAATTGGTTTATAAACCGATTCCGATTCTTAGTAGGTGACGGGGGGAAAAGCCTTGTCGTTATGCGTCACGTCTTGTGGTCCATTAATTAGTGCAATAAAACCAGTTGGAGTAAAATTCACTTAAAATTTATTTAATCATGATATATTTTCCACGTCACACCCGCGTAAAATAACTCAGGGAACCAAGTAGCCTACGTAGTTTAGTCATGAAATTAATTTTCTGTAGTTATTTTTTATTTATGATTTATCGGCTTTTATTAAATGGTGAAGTAACCTTTTCAGTAAGGAGTAATGTTATTTTGTGAGCATAGGTAATGCACTAGCAGTAGTTGTAATTCACGGCTAACCTACGGTTATTTTAGGTGACGTTTCTTTAAAGGTTGATTAGTTCCTCAAACCAACTGAAACTATAATGAAACACAATCAGGAATTAATTGGCTTTAATTTAGGCAATGATGATGACCAATGATTGACTGAATGAATGATAAAATCCTATGGTCTGAGCCCAGCCAATTAACAAATTAAATTGAACCCTGGACACACCCAACTTGTAGCAGATCCGAGGCTTATATATAAGGTATAGATTTTACCCCCCTCGGAATTGACACCTTATAAAGTGTGTGTTATTTGAATTAAGAAACTGTGATAAGAAATGTGATTTTCTGTAATAGAGCTTCAAATTTTTAACAGATGATTTGTTACCTCTTGGGGCCTCGAAGAAAGCAGCAGAGGGGATGATTTGAGAGCGGTCTTCCTCATCCTTCGGCTGTAACATTGATTTATTATATGTATATGTAAATAGAACTACTTAAAAAAACTTGATTTTGTATATTAAAGCATTGTTGTACTTCTAACGGAGACAATTCAAAAAATTGTAAACTAAAAATTCCCACGTTATTATTATGAAGATTTTGTTTTTTTCATACTAAGCTATCAACATTCCAATAAAAAAACGAACACACGTCAATCCCTGCCTTCCCTGTAGCAGTAAATCCCCATTAAAATACCCATTTTTTTTTTTTTTTTTTTTAAGGGAGAGGAGGGAAAATGCTTTTACGCACACAGGTAGCCAGCCTGTAGTGTGAGACTCCTGAATCTATCACAGACTACTCACTAAAAAACCCCCTCTACTCTGTTGGACACAGACCTGGAATTATTTGTCACATTACTTCAAGTCAGGCCAACATGTGGACTAAGCCCTCAGGGCTCTCACCGTTTTTGGCATTTAGATACTTCATGACCTACACGGCATCCCGGTCAAGGTCGAGCTTCTTGGCGCGGAGATTAAATTCATTTTAATGCACCTTATTAACTCATCATTTGTAACAGGAATTTTTCCAAATGAGCTTAAAAATGCTAGAGTGGTACCTGTTTATAAGAAAAACTCTAAGAAAGATATTTCAAACTACAGGCAGTGTCAATTCTCCCGGCAATATCAAAGGTATATGAGAAGGCAGTGTACAACAGGTTGAACAGTTTCTTGAACCAGTATGATCTAATTGATAATGAACAACATGGTTTCCGTGCTGGTAGATTGACTGTTACATCAGCGGTTAGTTTCATTGAAGCCGTGATAAATTCACTAGATAAGGGTTTAAATTCAGCTGGCATCTTCATGGACATGTCCCAGGCATTTGATAATGTAGACCACCATCAATTAATAGCTAAACTTGATAATTTGGGTATTAAAAGAGTCACTTTCAAATGGTTTAAATCATACTTAGAGGAACGTTACCAATTTGTGGAAATATCAACTTTGTCAAAAAATAACATCATCCAAAAAACAAGATCTAATTTATCAAAGATATCATCTGGTGTTCCACAGGGATCGATTCTTGGTCCTCTTTTATTCATATGTTACCTTAAAAATCTTCCAAATTCTCTAAAAGACCCAGGTAGTAAGATAAAGTATATATGCAGATGATATTAATCTTAACACAACTGGGAAATCCCTAACTGATTTAGAAATGTCTGCTAAATCAGAATTAAAAAGTCTGAATCAGTTTTTAAAAGACCATAATTTAGTAATTAATACTAGTAAAACTAATTTCATTCTTTTCAAAACAAAAAGAGACAAAAATGATAAAAGTATAAAGTTAGATATAGATACAAATTCCATTGCTCAAGTTAAAACCTCAAAACTATTGGGTTTGATAATAGATGAGGATTTAAGCTGGAATAAACATGTTGAGTATTTAATAAAAAAATTAAATTCTGGTATATTCGTCCTAAGAACAATGTCATATCTCTGTGAAGGATCAGGCCTTAAAATGATATATCATGCTCATATTGAATCACATATTAACTATGGAATTAGTATTTATGGTGGGACAAAGAAAAAGAATTAAAAAAGATTTTGAAAATACAAAAAAAAGCTATCAGGATAATACATAAATTAAAATATAACCAGTCGGTCAACTCTTATTTTAAAGGGATGGGCATTTTTACAGTCCACACCTTATATATTTTTGAAACAATTAAATATTTTTTAAATATTGCTGGGACTCAAGAATTGCCTGTGCATAATTATAATACAAGGGGTGAAAATTATTTAGCTAAAAAAAACCAAGACTTGAACTTTTTTACAAAAAACCTTGGATATTGGAAACTATTTTTTTAGAAAACTTCCTAGCTTTTTAAAAAAAGAAAAAGACAAATCTAATTTTATGAAAAAACTGAAAGCATTCTTACTTGACCTTGCACCTTACAAAATAGAAGATTATAGTAATTTCAATTTAAAATAATGTAGCCTATAGTATTTTGCTTAAATGTTTCTTATTGCTAATTTAGGTAGTAAGTAACAATAGACACTATTCATGTACGAAAATTTGTACTGTGTGAATAAAGACTCTTTGAATCTTGAATACCCTGGATGTAATGTGACAAACAGGTCCAATTGTCTTCACCCTCCGTCATCATCGGTATGACCGTGTCCACTGACAGCAGTCCTACTAACTGTTGAGCCTCCAGGCGGGGCCTTTCCCAACGCTGGCAGTGGAAAAAGGTATGTTCCACGTCATCGGGAATGCCTGAGCAGTATATGCAATCGGGTGACACGGCTTTGCCCATCTTGAACAGGTACGACCGGAAAAAGCCGTGACCCGTCAGAAATTGGGTGAGGTAGAAGCCATTCAAAATAAAATTTGGCCATCAAAAAGGCCAAGAACGAAGAATTCATCGACGAGTCAACCAACAGATGTCGAGCAGCCTGGTCCGTGATCAAGAGGGCAACGGGTCAATCATCACTCAGAGCTTCAAGTAACATCTCTCCAGATGAGCACAATAATTACTTCTTGTCATCAGTAAAGGAAATAAGTTCTAAAGTGAAAGGTTCAGTGAGTGATGCCAATCAGTTGTTAAATGTGCTAATCCCACCAGCAAAAAAGTGTGAATTTTCTAAGGTAACTTGCACTGAAGTTCGTAAAATTGTAATGTCTTTAAAAAGCACCAATAGCAAAGATGTTTATGGTTTAAGTAGCAGCTTAGTTAAGTCTATAATAGAATGTATTTTGGAACCATTAACTTTTTGTATAAATTGTTGTCTAAATGAAGGTATTTTTCCGAGCCCACAAAAATTATCAAGAGTTGTTCCAATTTATAAGAAAGGTCCAGTGGCATGTCCAAGTAGCTATAGGCCGATTTCTTGTGTACCTATTTTCTCAAAGATTTTGGAAAAAGTTTTGAAAGTCCAAATATGTGCTCATTTTGAATCATCAAACCTATTCAGTAACAGTCAGTTTGGTTATCGATCTGGTCAATCAACGGTAAAAGCCATTGATACTCTAGTTAGTGAGGTAATTTCTGCTCTGGAAATGGGATCTTTAGCTCAGATCACCTTATGTGATCTGAGCAAAGCATTTGATTGTGTTAAACATGACATTTTACTAGATAAACTTAGATTTTATGGTTTATACAACAGAGAGCTCGCAATATTAAAGTCATATTTGCTGGACCGCAAACAGATAGTAGAAGTGGATGGCATACGTTCTGATGTTGCTTGTGTGAACCAAGGTACGTGCCCCAAGGCTCAGTATTAGGGCCTATTCTATTTTTAGTTTTAATGAATGACTTGCCTGATAACTTAACTTGTAAGACTATTATTTATGCAGATGACACTACATTACTAAATGTTAATGATGCCAATTTAGAACTTAAACATGTGGTAACTACCTCAATTACTGATACTGTCAATTGGTTTAATTCAAATAGCTTGTATTTAAATGAAAGTAAAACATGCAATTTGCAAATTTCTTTTAGGGATGTAGATTTAGAAAACTGTTCACCTGTTAAGTTACTAGGTATTACTATTGATAGTAGGCTCTCTTGGAAAGTTCATATTGAAAATGTATGTAAACAATTGTCCAGAGTAATTTACCTTCTGATAAACCTAAAAAAAACTTGTATCAGATAAGTACTTAAAAATGTCATATTATGCCTTTTTTGAAAGTTTGCTTAGGTATGGTCTTATAGTGTGGGGTAATGGTGTTGGAATCGAACATGTTCTTTTAGTACAGAAAAAAGCTATCAGAATTTTATCAGGTGCAGATAGCCTAGATCACTGTAGACCATTATTTTTACAAACTGGGATTCTGACAGTGATAAATTTATACATCTATGAGGTTCTGATTTTGATAAAAAAGAATGTTAATTTATTGGTCAAAAGAAATGAAATTCATAAACACAACACTAGAAATAAATGCAAACTGGAAATTCCAAAAAATAGGTTAAGTCTAACTAATAACTATCATAACTCATTGGGAATCAAATTGTTCAACAAACTGCCCTTGGAACTTCAAAGTATTTCTGACAATGCATTTAACAGTAAATTATATGTTTGGCTTCAAAGTAGGCCATTATACCACATCAATGAATTTTTTGATTTAGATATAAGAGGCTGTGATTTTTAAATTAGGTAGAGATTATTATTTATGACTCTTGTGTATTATGACTACTTATTGTTTAAACTTGACGAAGTCTATTGTAATTATAGTGTAATTACTGAATGACCAATAAATCTATGCATTCATATTCATTCATTCATTTAGCGATGTATTTTTATCGTTATTTTAGGTTGTTTCTCTCTTAATGAACTCAAACAGCTGTCATGAGTTTGCAAATGGCAAATTAATTGTTTAACCTCTGTTTTGGTTTTTGTTGTTTGTTTGCTGTGCGTGTGTAAATATGTGGTTTCCCTGGATACTAAATTAAAATACCTAGCTCATTAAAATAAAAGGGCAAACTGAATTTGAATTAATAAACTCAACACTTTTAATTCAACCAACTCAGAAGACATAGATTAGACTATTATTGTTTTTAACAACACATTTAACAATTTAACCATCTGGTATTCATCATTGAAGTATAACATTAAAAACATACATGTGGCAAATATTAAATTGCACTCAACACCCATCCTCAATTTAATAATATTACATTTGACACAATTAACAAACAAAAAATCCTAACATCTTTCTCAAGAAATGAGAAACGAATGAATAGCTTGATACCATGCTAATGGTGCCTGTTTCAAGCCATATAGTGCCTTTTGCAATTTGCAAACGGAGCCAGGTGTTCCTTCAACTCCTTCAGGAATGGACATATATATTTCCTCCTTCAGCTCCCCATGAAGAAAAGCATTGTTGACGTCTAATTGTTCAAGAATTAATCCACGTTCATTTGCTACAGCAAGCAACACCCTAACTGTTGCAAGACGAACCACTGGAGCATATGTTTATTCATAGTCAAAACCCTTTCTCTGTGAACATC